TTTATAAAAAGGATTTAATACTACATGTCTTTAATATCCCTTGGCCGATTCTGTTGAAATCTGTTAGTGTTGTTTGTGGTGGTTTGAAATGGCAAATAATTCTCAATAATTTAGTAGTATCTATAATTCTTTGGAATGTGGCAGATTTATTTATTCCTAATCAGATTCAAATTTTTTTAAGTCCAGTGGTGTTCCGGGGCATAATTTTGTGAAGTTTTTTAAAAACAAAAATTTAGCCAATGACTATCATTTTATCCTTTTTCAATCGTTTTTTTCTCGAGCTTTACGTACCTCTTATGAGGGTGTATCACCTTCAAGATTTTTTGTTGAGAGTCCATTTTATTATCCAAAAACCTCATAAATTTGCACCATTAGAAATGATACACTTTCAAGTCAGATCTTGAACTATTTTAATCTAGTTGCAGAAAGTTGAATTTGATTTATTCATTCTGGGAAACGAAGAATGATATCAAGAGACGGAAAACTCTATTTTTCAATATAATTACCATAATAATTTTAATTTAGTTAGTCAAATTATCAAATTCCGAAAAATCTGGCTAACGGTTAATGAAAACCGATTAGAATCTGTTATCATGTAATAAATTGGTACATTTCTATTTCCTCGAAAACGAAGAAAGTTTTTTAACAGTTTGAATCTTGAAACTTATGCATTTTCGGATCCATGGTGAAAATTAAATTATCCGAAGGTAATTTCCAAACACCCTGTATAAATAGGTATAGACAAGAAAACGTTATAAGAAAACTGTTATTAGACAGTGGTCGTATAAACATGCAGAGAGACGGACGAAAAAGAAAGAAAAAATAGTGAAACTTGCCTTGCCTTCAGCTAAATTTAATAATTAAAATGCAGAAACGACGTAGCATGAAAAAGTTAAAAAGTCCCATTCGATAGTTAGGAATAGAACCAATATTTTTTAGTCTAATACTACGAAAATCTCGAAATTTTAGTTGTTTACAGCTGGTTAGCGGCGCGAAATAATTTTGGTTAGTTTCTAAACTAATAAAAACTAAACGGGAAAAATCATTCGTTTCGCTGACGTTTTTCATTTCGTCGGCCTCGTTTATGTTATTTAGTTCCACGTCACCGATTAGAAAACCTAACCGAAAACCTTAAAATTGTCTGTTTTAAAACTTGCTTGACCGTCGATCGTTGGAAAGATAACAATTCGAAGAAGTGTAGAGGAATACAATCGTAAATTAAACCAAGAGGTATTGCACGTAGGCATATTAGTCATCGTCGGTAGGTAAAAGTTCCGAATTACCGGGAAATGCATACTCGTATAATGTCGGTTCGTTTAAGCACTGTTTGATAAAACTGCGAAAAAATGCACCTGAACTACAACAATTTTTGGTTGAAAAACAAACAGACCAAAACTTTTACAAACGTAACACACATCGGTTAATGAAAATGAGATGACAGCGGAAATTTAAAAAATAATAATCTAGAGATTTGCAGACAATTGAAATAAGATCAATTGTTATATTTAAAAAGAATCTAATATCTACAGCTCCTTTGTAAATTGTATTCGTCGCATTCAGATGAACTATAGTCGTTGGAATCCAGAGAAGGAATAAGGAGCTCTACAGTATTTTCTAGTATGTTATCAGCTTCCTCTATTTCAATCACATGTTCGAAGCACTCACTTCATTTTTCCACGGTCTTTATTCCCTCCTGCAAGATGATTTCAAGATCCCTTATTTTCAATGTGATGTTACGCCTTGCTAAAAAAAATTGGTTGCGCCAATAAGAATTCTATATGGTTTGATTTGAGTGATATGGGCGAATTCGTACTCATATTTCGTACAAAGAATTTTTTAAAAATTTACAATCTCCAGTAGGTCCTTTTTCGTCTGGCAGACCATCAGATTTTTCTGACAGACTCCAGACCTGTGATCACTCTCTACATTATTATACACCAAGCGCATATTAACGGAAAATGAAGGACTAATATATTGGTTCAAATTTCTCTGATTTCATAATAAGAGTATGAGCCAAATGTTTTAATCAAGTACTTGTGATTTTGGTAAACATCGATATAGATCAATTTCAAATCTTTGATTAATTAATTATTAAAAAAAAAATCTAAGTTGAAATTGAAACTTTGATACCCTGTATCTCGCTTAATTAAATTGTAAATTTTTACCTAAAGAACCTCCTATTTTGTCATGTACCATTACTTATGTGACACCCTGTATAGTTGAGATTCATATCTAGTTACATGTAGAAAATTAAAATTTTCGATAAAAAAGTAATTTTGCTATATTACTAGGAAAAAGATATCTAAATAATGAATATGTCCCTAAAATTACATCGTAATAAAATGAAGGAGAAAATTTTATTGAAGTAAATATGTAGATGTAACATTTAATTCGAAATAATGTTTAAAGTCTTAAAATTATAAAGACAAAAATATCTTCCAAAATGAAAGCTATCCATAGGAAAGATTGCGGTTCTCTCGCACAGAGTTTCACGTCTCATGTCTTTTTATCATTATCGAATCTTGAGAAAGCAATTCGGCGTTTTTCTTTTTGATAAACGACATGCACGACACTATCTGATAAAAATTTAATACTAAAAAACGAAAAAACTATGATATTTTGTTTTACATTTTTACAACCGGTAAACTTTGGTAACAAATGGCGAATATGCGACTTTTCTAACAATCATTTCATAAATACAAAACAACCAAATCAACAATGGTATCCGGCAAGAGTCATGCCTTTGAGTCAAATTCCCGAGATTTTGATAAAAAATACATAGATACAATGTCAGCCAAAATCAAAACAACCGATTCTAAAGTACTTTGGAGAGAGAGAGGGGGGGGGGGGGAGAGAGAAATTAAAAATTGATTGCTTCATTTTAAAATTTTGAACTGAGCATACACCGATTCGTTTTAAACTTATAAAGTTACTTAGACACGTACTTAAAAATATTCATATAGCTGCTTTAAATCTAGCGTTTCTTCAGTTCCATCCAACAGGTTATACCTGTTTTGTTCTCCCAATTTTATAATGGGGGGCAGGTAATTTTACCGTGATGAAGCAAATTTTTGTACTTTTTTTTAGACCCTTCTAAACCATTCAAAACTATTATTCTGGAAGCTTTTCGCATTATCTTTTTATTGAAAACATTATTTATTGAACAATGGTTTTCGATAATTTTTAACAAATAAGGGTAGTTCCGAAATACTCTTAAAAATGGGCCTTGTCAGAGGTGTTACTAAAGATAAATTTATAATTATGAGAAAAATGAATTTCTAGCATTGTTAAAGAACAGTAATAAATAACACATTTTATTAAGAAGGTAAGCCGAAAGAGATATTTACAAAATTTGCATTTATTTTATCTATCCAAAACTAGTATTTCTATTATTATATACAGAGAATTCCTCTTTTTCTAACATGTAAATGGTTATTTAAAATTACTTCAGGACGAAGAAAAAAAATAATTTCCAACTTTTTAGAAATGATTTTTTTACGACCGAATTTGTGAAATGTGAGGTAACACACAGAAGTAGAATTTGTAATTTGGGAATAAAAATTTGAAATATTTTATAATAACATTGACTTCGAAAAATCGTCGCTGCGAGGGGCAAGTTCGTCGCAAGTAGCTCGAATCAGCTTTTTATTTTAAAAACTCGATGTAATTTTATTGTGAATACACCCTGTATAAAGAGACATCTCGTCGAACTTCAAAGTTACGGCAAACTTCGGTAAATATTAAAATTTATACTAGTAATTGCAATTCTAGACGAAACCTTAAACTCTCTCTCGAAACAGTTTACGATACTGTTCATATCAAATTATCACATCCTTAAAAGTTGTTCATTTATTGGCAATAATTCAACCACAAAAGCGGAAATTTCTATGATCTATAGAATTTTTTGCCCACAAACGACAATGTTCCAAAGAGAGGCTATGGCTCTGGATCTCCTTAGTTTCCTGACATACGAATTTTTCCAATGGAGTTATTGGTTTTCAAGAAACTACTTGCTTTCTGAATCCATGCAGTACATGGTAATAGTAAATGACGTCATCGCGTTATGGAGGGCGAGAAATAGTGATTTTCATTTGGATTTTTTCAAATATCTTGAAAACCGTAAATACAAAAATTGTGGCCCTTGATACGGCCTATACTGTTTGAATGGATTCGCTATTTCTTGTACGAATTTTGATTTACGGTTAATAATTTACTCTGTAAAATTTTCAGTGTCTTTTAGATTTTTGTCCATAACTAAAACACCTTGTATATAATCGAAAAAATGCGTGAAAAAAAGTTACAGCGCTGAGCTCACACGTATTATGGTTGTAAAATTTTTCCGATCGGATAAATGGTTTTGGAGGAAAAGATGATTTTCTGGATGCCAAAACAACAAAAAAAAATAAAAACAAATACTTCGCGTTATTTTATTCCTCCCAATTTAACGAGTCTAAATGCGGGTCCAGACATCTACTTCTCTCCCAAGTCTCAAGTCGGTAGCTGCAAATTTGGGGCACTTATTATGTATCTCCTGGAGGGTTAAAAGGGGCGCAAAGACGGAACGGAGAACGGAGACAAAAAAAATTTTTTTTTCGACGCTGATCATTTCTGTACCAATGGCGATCACATAGGTCCTACCGTTACGGAGATATGAAATTTTTATACGAGCGCAGATACTTTCGAAAAAATCGATTTTTCGAAAGTAACACTATTACCACTATTACCACAATTAAGCTAAACTTAAATTTAAATCGAGTAGAACATATTGAAGCTCTACAATTAAGAATTTTGTTACCAAAATCCGCGCTTTCCCAAACGCTCCCTCCTAATTAGTATGGCCGGGCGAGAGAAAAAAAAAGAACACCACCAGAGCGGCGGCGACGGTATATCCGAAGGTGTTCCCGTGGACTTGTCGCACGCGATTGGTCGAAACGTTACGCGAGATGACGCAACGTCAGTGACGATTTTCATTGAGGATTGTTTAAAGAGCCGGGCACGACGTTTCGAAAAGCCATTTCAGAAGTGACCGCGTGTAAGTAGTACCACTCAGTCGCCCTCCAGATTCGCGTCCGCGCTCTTTTTTTTTCGACTAAATGTTTTTTAATATCGACGGCTCTGTCTCGTTCGTAAGTTTTTACCCCGTGAAACGAGGCCATACGGATAATTTCCCCGATCGGACCGTCAAGTGACGAAACGTCGCGACGCAAACGCACACATCAGTCCCAACGGCATTTTCTTATTTCTTGTTTTCCGAGAAATTCATCGAAATGGTAAGTGTGCATTATTATCATTATTATACTAACCGATTACGGGAAAATTTCGATGACTTCTAAGTACAACTTTCGTTTTTTTTTTTTAGTTTCCTCTTATTCCTTTCTTTGAATGTTAATTAATTTAAGCGCTTTCGTTGAATGAAGTTCGATAAAATTAGAAAAAGTCACCGCTACGGCGAACGCACAATGTAAGAACCCACGCGACCGGATAGTTCTAGAAAAATCGGCAGGAACTTGAAGAATAATATACGAAATGTTTTAATTAATTTTATCGATAATAATCGCTTCAAGTGGCACTCGCGGAGAAAGAAATTCCCCGATTACAATCGCCATCGTTATTCCTTAACCTCAAAATCTCATTAGTTGAGACGCTAGAGAACAAAGAATCAACATTTTTCTTCATTGAGAATTTAAATTTTCGGAAATTAAAAATGAATTGACAGGGAGAATTGAAGTCGTCGAATTAACATTTACGCACGAGACCAGCGTAAAGTTTCGACGTGTAAAAATCCGGAGAACGCAAGATTTTTGTATCTACCCTGAAACTGAAAATAATTGCTTTTACACGCATTACTTCCAGCTTTTGCGTGAATTTCTATCTAATTGCGAGTGTCATTTATTAGCATTATTTGCAAAATTAACTATTAACCAAAAGCTGTGGGACACCAAAGTCTGTCTAATGCGTTTTTACCAATCGAAAAAGATATTTATAAGAACTCTCGGTATCTAGAGAACACGTTGTTAAAATCAATTATCGTAGAGTTGAAATGTCCATAGGGAGTGTGTGCCATTTTTTGATGCAAAAAACATTTTGGGTTAAGATTGACGTACGTGCCCCGCCGGGATATGTGCCTATCGTAATAATTAATAAGTTATGTCAGAGACAATTTCATGTCGAAGGTCGTATGTGCCATCCACACGAAATATACTCCAGCTTTATATTAACGAATAGACTAATACTTATCTTAAAACAACAAGTCTTAAAATAAGTACAGCTGATGTACAGCAAAATAAGTCCGGTGTTGTATATTCAAAAGACGCTTATTCTGAAGTATAGACACGGACGAAAACCAATGTTTTAAGAAAACGTCAAAACCTTTGGAAAGTTTTAAGTGCAAGTTTAATCCCATTAAAAGAAGTCAATTATTGATTTTTTGCCAGAACAAGCACACATTTTTTTTATATAGGAAATTGTTAAAATTGTACATTTTTTAGATTTGATAATTTGTTTCTCTTTCTCTACGTTAATTTTTTTTGTTTTCCAAATTTATTTAGAGTTTTTTGTATTTTTTTATAAGTTCACTAAGGTCGTCTTAGTTAATAAATATTTGCGTAACCTGCTTTTGCCGTATTTTTACGAATTCCGGTAGTAATAATCATTGTAAATTTACACAGTTTTCCATGATTATCTCTAAAATGATGTCCAAAAATTTTTGTTTTTTTGTTTAAATGAAATTTATTGCATAGCTCAACTAGTTTTAATTAGCAATAATAACGTTCAGATTAGTATTGAGAAATTGTTGTCACTTTGCTACCGTGTGAAAAATTCGTCTATCCTCGATGAATTCGTGATCCGACTTGTTAAAACATGTTTCGTTCAACGCTTTAACACGTGTCAACGCCATATCTACCGAGTATTGCGACATCATTTTCCGTAAAATCACTTCCAATTTCGACAGGCGCCGATAAAATTACCTTCGAAAATGATATCGCATCGTTGTGAATGATTCAAAATTATAAGTTTAGCTTAAAATCACACTTTGAGATCAATTATCCGAAAAAACATGTTTTACAAACAACATTCATTACAAAATATTTTTCTAAACATTTGTAACATTCCTTTGCAAAATTCCTAACATGCTTTGATAGTTTATGTGTTCAAAAAAATTCTATAAAAAAAGTTCCCGTATAGGTCCGGAAATACATTCTTTCCGAAGTACAGAATTTTACACTTTTCTTTAAAATTAATTCAAATATCTTTTCGTGGATTTGTTCGAAATTTGACAGCGTTAGTTCTAGTGACAAAAATTAAACAATGGCGTTACTTTTTTACCTATTGATTTTTTTTATACCTTGCTTGGTTTACAATAAAAATACGACTACAAATGACTTTTATATATTTATTATACAAAAATTAACAAAAACTGTTGAAAGTGAGCACTTGCAGGTGTTATTCAGATGGGTTCCTCATTTTGTACCTATCTGTTAAATATTTAATACGGAACTTTATGGAGGAACAGGAAAGTCAAAAACAGCAAGAACGGTAGAACTGGAAGAAGAAGAAGAAGAAGAAGAAGCAGAATAACTACTGACGCTGGTTCTGTTTACCCATAAAGCGACTTTTTCAAGAAATGCAATAAGGAATTCTGATAATAACCATTTATCCACATCCACATGTATTATTTGAGTGAGTTTTTGATACTAACATACGGAAAGCGCTGGATTGACCAAAGACGGCTTATGGCCTGCACGATCCCCGTGGAAATTATACAGGCCCTATAACATCGAATTATTGATGGGTGCTACTTAATTAGGAACTATACTAGTATTGTTGATGGAGTACGCCAGTCCAGTGCATTCGAGTTAGAGGCGGATACTTTCGCAGTTTTTGTATTTTTTTGTATGATAAATAAAGCTATCTTAGTAGAATTGTACGCAATTATCGAACTGTTGAAAAATAATTGTATGATAAAACGCCAAGCAAAAACACATGAGCAAACGAAGTAACATTTGAGAAAAATTCAAGAGACGAAAAAGTAAGAAATTTAATTTAATTAGTATAATTTAAAGTCACTGGCGTACTAATTTTTTCACAGAATGATTTGAAGAATTACCCCCATCTCCCATCTAAGTCTTGGTAACCTATGTGCCTTTATATATACCGTGTGTAGCATATGTGTCTTAAAAAATATAATCGATTAACAGACAAATTCCAAGCTATCAATTGAAATTGAACCTTTTAATTAACTTATACTGAAAATCTGTATGAGTGCAATTTGTTGGTTTTTAACACTTTCACTTAGTTTTGGTTAGTTACGAATTGACCAGTAAAATTTTAATTTTAAAGATACAATGGAAATTTATATTTACTTATTTTTATTGTGCATTACGCCGCCGTAGCGTCGATCTGAGCACTAAATGGATATATTGATTGGGATTCCCCGAATCATTAAGGATCGTATTCGGGCCTTCCTTGAAGAGGGTTATAGGTAAATTGGACATCACAAACGCATAATTTATTATAAAATATATATTATTATTAAATATCGATAGAAAACACTCTATAATTGCAAGATGTTATTTAAAACAATTTGGTCGAATATGACAAGTCAATTATGTGGTCAAGTGACCAGCTCCAACACTACTCTCATCACAGTTCTCCGAAAAATATCACCTTCTCTTCAATTTCTCTAGTGGAAATACTCGACACATTTGTCTGTAGATTCGTTTAACGTTTTCTCATTTTTTGATTTAATAAACGATAAATTTCCAAAATATCATACCTTTTCAAGTTAGCAATGATGGCTAAAGTAATCCGGAGTGGATCTTACTCCATTTTTATCGCAGCAAAATATCGCGTTTTTCTATATTGGAAAACTTTTTAACAAATATTGTTCTTCGTCACCATGGTAACCATACTAAAAGCGTTTCATTTTATGTAATAATCTTTTTTGCATGAAGAACGTTAAGCTAAAATAACCCTACCATGTGACATAGTATCGTCAAAATCATAATCAATCTCTCTACTTAGCAAAACTTAAAAAGGCTTCCATAAAAAAAAACTAAGTTTTTTTCATCTGCCAAAAATGGCAAGTGCGAGGAAAAATATTTTTATGTGATATATACGATATTTACGAAGCTAGAAGCATTATAAAAAATCGCCAAAAATCAGTTTACTTTAAATATCAATTGACGGCTGACAAATTTTGAAAAACTGAAAACTATAACTGCAACTGCAACTCTTTGGCCATGTCAACTTTTTCGTATTTGCCACAGAGGGAAATTCACGTCAATAATCCTTAATAGGTTTTTAAATACCCAAAAATGTTGATTTTAGCATTGTTTTGACCTGATAAAGGCATTCCTTTTAGCCATCAATGACGTTTGCTTTGTTGGACACCGTGCGAAACGGTCACCGTTTGGTTAGCAAAATGGCGTCCGCCGCATCAGAAACGCATCGCAGCGCAAATTGCGAGTTTTTTCTTTCTCCGTTTCGTCACGGTCGAACAAAAGAAACCGCCAAATTGACAGAACGGCCTTAAGTGCTTTATAATGGCGGTCGCGAAATTAAATCTCGATTTACGCAAACCGCAGGGGGGAAAAACGCGGCCGTTCTCACGACTTTTGCGATTTCGAACGGAATTAGGGGCGACGGGAGAAAAAAGAACCGCCCGGATTACGCGCTCCACGTGGCAACGTCGCGACGAAACGTGCACCTGCCTGCGTGAACGCGAATGCTTAAGATATAATTAAAACCAGGTTTTAATTCGGCGACAGATTATGGAAATAAAAAGCAGGACCGTATTCGTAAAAGTTAATGAATTACCGGGTGATCATTTATCATGTATACTTTTTTAGGTTTTGGAAAAACAATAATATACAAAAAAAAATCTTCAAAAATAGTAAGCTATTTGCAAGATATATTTTTATAGACACAGGGTGTTGCAGAAATCACCCACAGACAAAAGTTATATATTTTTCGAGGAACGCGCTGTATATCATACGCTTAATAAAATTCCCTAAAAATTCAGCACATTTCTTGTATAATATGTACTATACCCAAATTCAATAGTTTTTGAGTATATGCGCTTTTAACATAAAAGCAACATTCAAAAATAAAATATTCTAGAACTTATAATTTATATCTTAGGTGGCTGTGAAGTACATCGTCACCAAAAAACAAAATGTTTGTTTACAAGTGACAGTGCCAGTTACCAGTTACAGATATATTAAAACTTACGTTCCTTTTATTACAAAATGCTTTATTCGGAAAGAGA